TGGAATATGTTTAAATGGCTGAGGATGGAGATCAAACACGAGGTCTTTTTAACACTCTAAAGGAACTCAGATTCCATAAAATGCTCGGGATTACTCGAGTTCCTAAGCATCTGCTGCCTTCACATGAAGGACTTATCACCACGGATTTCGTTACACCGCAAGATGAAACAGAGTAGCCTCCGAAAAGTTGTGAAGGTATTAAACGATTAAAGAAATATGTGTTTTTGTGGAACTTGATTTTCATAAGATCGTCACAACAGACCTCCAAGACTTTCCCGAGATAATTCAATTTATTTCACATTTCCAGAAGGAGACCCATTTTGATACTGTTCCACCATGTAAGCGTGTATCTTCCTAAGTGGTCTTTCCTCTAAATTGATCGATCAGGTTTATCCTTGAAACGTCTATACTTACTCAGCTGATCAAGGAAGCCCCTCTTTTTAAGGTGAACTTAAAACTGTGAGGTACCTTAATTCAGTTCACAAATCCATAATGTGTTTATGCAAAATAAATTTTCACGTCAGGCATATTCCAAACGATATTTCCCTTCACGATATTAAAATAACGCTTCGGTAATCAAATTAACATAAAACTGCATGAATTACCATTCTAAGCTCCAATGGAAAAGTATTTTTTTATTGCTAGTGGGGTGGGACTAAGTCCCTTGTACTACGGCCACTTCTGGCCTATTGTACCAGCCCTAGATATAGGTGAGGGTGATTGTGGAGCAATTGGTGGAATGAAGATTGGCAGGGGAAACCTAAGTACTCGGAGAAAACCTGCCCCAGCGCCACTTTGTCCACCACAAATATAACTTGACCAGACCCTGGATCGAACCCGGGCCGCCGCGATGGGAAGACAGCGACTAACCGCTTGAGCTATGGCGCGGCCGAATGAAAAAGTAAGTGGACTTTGAAAAGGAATCTTTTAACGTTGTAGAAGAGCATTCACCTCAGCTACGGACCAAAAAATAGTATAATGTTCTTTTTACTTTGTGCACAAACATATTCGTCATTCTGTAGAATTATCATCAACATTTCTCTTCGTTCAATTTCATTCAGATGTGTAAGCGGTGGAATGGCGATCATCGTGTTAATGAGATTCTTGCCATGCGAAGGGTAGTTATGAGGGCTGTTATTTGTGCAGGTCATAACAGTACTTGAAAAGAGATGGAAAAAGATGACGTTTTTAGTAATAAATAGCGAAAGAAAGGAGAACTTCAGTTCACATTTCCAAATTATATTTTATTCTTATTCTTCTAATTGTCCACTTTCAAGAGGATTCCGCATTAAAATTGCGTATACATCTCATATGCTTTCATGCCATACAGCTTAATTAAGTTAAGCACAGGGACAGCTTTTTGTTTCCTTGGCACTACAGCCCCAGTTGGCCTAGGCCTACCTCCATGAACTTCTCCGTTCACTTCGGTTTTTCTCGAGCTTACACATTCGGTAGGACTCCTTGGGCGGGTGATCAGCTCGTCGCAAGGCCTCTACCTGTACACAAACACAGAAAAACGCACACACACAAACTAAACATCCATGCCCTGAGTGGGATTCGAACCCACGATCCCGGTTTCCAAGCGAGCGAAGACGGTACATGCCTTAGACCGCTCGGCTACCGTGACCGGCGGGACGACTTTACCTTTGCCTTTTACTACTTCTATATCCTACGTGAGGATATTTTTAGTAAATCGCAAAAGTTCTCTGCTCAGACACCAAGTAGTAAATATCTTTTGTGCAAAACTAATCTTGTGTCTCTTAGAAAGTTAAAAAGATATGTACACTTCTCTGATTAGCTCTTTGCTGAGCAAAGAAACAATAAGGCGCTACTGAATTTTGTAACGTTACTGCTTGGCTGACGTCCTCGGTTTCTGTAAAATTGTATTTAAACATCTAAAGTTGTTCAGGGGATTAGGCTGAAAAGTAACATTCTTATCTTTTATAAATTTTGGTACAGTGCAGCGTGTCTCTTTGAAAGCAAGGATTGCCGTGTTAACGGGTCCTTCAAGCAACCATACAGAGATCGTTGCCTTCAAGGACACGTCTCACTACGCCAACACATACACAGTTTGTTTCCTTCAAGGACACTATGTCAGCATGTCAGTCCTTGCCTTCAGAGTTGCACAGTGCCCTACATCAACCAGATTGGGCTACTCACCAACAGAAGAACACCAGAAGAGTACACGACTTTCGGGTAGCTCTAAGCTCCCAGAACTTATGTCCACCGTTTTCAGATCCTACGCTGCTTTTCATGTTTTTTGTATAAGAAAATCACATGAGCAAAAGTATTAACTCATTACGTTGTGAGGCTCTCAGAAAATCAGTTTGGTCCATAATTTATGTGTATTTAACGGGAATATATTAGAGCAGATTGCTATTATTTTTTCTATTGAACGCCTCTGTGGCCTTGTGGTCAGATTTCCTGGTTACAGACCCAGAGGTCCCGGTTTCGATTCCTGGCGATACCAGATTTTCTAAGTAGTGGATCTGGAATGGGGTCCACCCAGCCTCGTGGTGATAACTGAGGAGCTACTTCAATGGAAATGTAGCAGCTCCGGGCTAGAAAACCGAAATTAATGGCCGTGCGTATTAGTTGCGCTGACCACGCGACACCCTCTATCCGCTAAAGTTTGTACCAACTTCGCCGACAAGCGGCGATCGCTCGGTCGGTATAGTTCACTTTCGGACTAAAGCCACGGAGTTTGATTTTGTTTCAAGAGTCTGCTATTTCTGTTTAGGGTTACCTTGATGTATTACCACAGTGTTACTCAAAACCTTTTGCTCAGAGGCAGACTAACATGACTTAAGAATAAGCCTAAGGCGTTGTGTATGCCACATTAATAAATTATCAAAAGTGCCCTGCTTCCAGATATACGAGTAATTATTATGATTCTGTTTAATATGTAACTATATAAAATGTACCCCATCAAAGCGTGTTTCTCCATGGAATCAACGAACGCCCTCTGCCTCTGCTCTTTTGGGCTGATATTCCCTCTGTTCTCATATTTCCAATATACTCGTACAATAATCTTGCCCTTCGCTTCATCCACCGTATTGCTATGTAATTCCAACTTTTCAGCTCCTCCTCTGTTGACCTAGTCTACGTGTTCATGAGACACGTCTCGGTGTAGGGCTCTTGTCAATGCGAGGAATTTCTTGATCTGCTCTGTTCCATTGAGATAGTTATCTCGTGCAACATTGCATTTTGTTTTTTTGACCTACTTAATTAACGGTCGAGCCCATTGAGATATTTTTCTTCTTAAGGTTCCACCCTTCCTCCCATCTAGAGGCCTCCGTAAACTTCCTCCGATTAAACGCGGCCGGAGCATGAATCTCACTCATCCCCTCCGTTTAGTGTAAAGGTTTAGAATATATGGAGCTTTACCTCTGCGCACCCTGATGGCCTTTACGTCATGGTGCCTGGGACAGGGATAACTTTTCAGATTTCAGAAAAAATTTGGATAATTCTACGGAACCACGCCGATTCCTTTCTGTTTGTGTTCCATTCTGCTCTCAGCTCGGAAGAGGCCCCGTGTTTCCTGTGGGGTGTAGTGGGAGCAAATGAATTCAGCAATTACTTGCGTGCAGTTTCATGGCGCATTTTGTTAAGAACACACCATATCGAAAAATATTTCAGATATTATTGAAACCCATGTTATACACCCTACACAAATTAATGCACGATGAGCGTGTTGAACCTGATTTCCTGTCTTGAGGACAATGACTGTCACCATGCTGTAATTGTGCGTCCTTTCGACTTCTTAACAAGTTGACCATATTCATGAAATTTTACACGAACAGTATGCTATCATAAGCCAACCAAACTTTATTTTTAATTTCCAGCAATCGGCAATAACACCATTGTGGGCGCACGAACATTTGAGGTGGGAACGACAGTAACAGACAGTTACGGCCGCACCATAGCTCAAGCGGTTAGTCGCTGGCTTCCCAACGCGACGGCCCGGGTTCGAGCCCGGGTCCGCTCAAGTGGGATTTGTGGTGGACAAAGTGGCGCTGGGGCAGGTTTTCTCCGAGTACTTTGGTTTCCCCTGCCAATCTTCATTCCACCAATTGCTCGACAATCACCCTCACCTATCTGGGGCTGATACGATAGGCCAGAAGTGGCCGCAGTACAAGGGACTTAGTCCATCCTCACTAGCAATAAAAAAAAACTGACAGTTAATGTAGGATCCTGAGCGTACTGTGTTCGCCACAGATCTTCGAAGAACACGCACTTCTTGTCCCGGCAATGTTTTCATGTATGATATAAAACAAAGTGGCAACTACATGAAATGTATATTTAACTGTCGGTTTTATGACGATCCCTAATGCACCATTGGAAGCAGGCATTTGAAGTTTTGCTTTATATGGGATGGATCTTCAACATACCACAAATCATGTATGAAACACACTTTTATAAATTAGCAATTACGAACATGGGGACGCGTCTAGGCTCTGCGAAGTTTTCAGGTTGTGTCCGTCAAATGTACCATATAAAATGAGAATAAATATTTACATGCTTAATAATAATAATAATCTGTAATGTATTTACAACTGCAAGCAATACAGTAAAATCCACCTCCATTAGGATGCAATCATATGACCATGTGCTCATGTGTACACCACACTAAGCCATGAGCTTAACCTGCAGCCGTGTATGAATCATTCCACCTTGAAGATGCACTGAATATGTTCCTCGGAAGAGTTGGTATCTACTTTCCAGATCACCGGTGTAATAAGCCGGGGAGACCACAATATAAACTTTGTAATATGGATCGTTTTACTGTGATGAATGCGAATTTTCTGTGTTCATTGGAGGGCTTTGGTGTTGAGGCGCTGGACCTTTAAATTGGTTTACCTGATGAAGAGCTTCAGGCTCCCTAACAACGCACTCTTTAAAGCTCTGTCGTGTATTGCGTGTAAGGTGACAGCTACAGAGCCTCTCAAAGCCAGTAAAGAAGTGTAATGAAACCAGGGCGAGCCGGGTGCGATTCTCACCTGTTCTGGCTGCAGACTGTTGAACTGAACACTGCACTCACGACACAGCTGGTTGCTGACCATGAACTGGTCTCTCAGCCAACGCGTTCTGCTCTTTTGTTGTTAATCTACCTGTTGATGACGGCTCGAGAAGGCGGGGGGGNTGTTGTTGCAGTCAGCGGCGCTGTTGCCAAGCTGCACAAATATTACGTCACGTTCGGTTATTGCCGTTTACTGATACGGTGAGGTTCAGGGCCGAAATTCATATCGTTATTCAAACTGAAGCCATAATCGGTTCTTCGTCGGTCAACCTTTGTGCTTCTTGTAGACTTCTTATCTTCATTCTGCAGGCTTTGTCGGACGCCATTATCGGTACAGTACCGCAGTTATCGTATTTATACTTCGATTTTGAACCGGGGCGTGTCCATTCTGTCAGATCGATGCCCGATCAGGCTTTGATTGTCGGCAGGGACAAGAATCTTCTTACTAGTCACCACGCCAAGACTACCCTCTGGTCTGTTTTCCAGTAAATACTGCGTGCTTTTTTCCCGGGATGCTTTAGCTTGAAAGTGAGTAGTTACATGCAGAACATTCGGATACGCAGAATGCGTGCAGCCTTACTCACTGTGCCACGCAGGTGTTGGCGCGCCTAAAGCTAGGCTTGCTTTTATGTTTGTAACTATTTTTTTATTTATTGGCGTGGGGTGACACTGAACCCACTTCGCACGTCGGTCACTGTTTGGCCTGTTGTACCAGACCCGGATGATAGATGATGATGAGTGTGGAGCAGTCAGTGGAATGAGAATTGAAAAGGGAAGCCGAAGTACTCGGTGAAAATCCGCCCCAGTGCCGCTTTTCCACCACAAACCCCACGTGACTTGAACCGGAATCGAAATCGGGCCCCCGCGGTTGTAGGTCGGCAAGTAACTGCCCCATCTATGACATGGTCTTTTGCTTTTATATTTAGTTGCAGTTATTATTCAGAGCCATGAGTAAAATTAGTACTGAAGCAGAGTCGATAGAAAGAAACGGGTTGCCCCTCTGTTTAGTGTAACATAAGCTAAGCCATGAAGTTTAGTCTGACGCGATTTTTCTCAGGCATTTCTTAGAAGAAAATCAAATATCATTTCCGGAATTCTTATTTATACAAGTCATGTTTACCATGCCACTTCTCGTCACCAACAATTGAATTCATGTTATAAGTGAATACCTACTATTAATCTGCAAAATGGATTTTTTCTATTAATCCGAATTACAATGTATATGAGCAGAAAATCCACAAATGCAAACTTGCACAATTGATAGCGTTCGATAACTGAAGACACGATATCTTTCACCGAACTTGCTCAACAAAAATACAAGTGGTAAAACAATATTCAATTGAAATCACATAGAAGGGCTCACATAAATTATCCATAACAATCTTAGTATAATAAAATAAAAAATCATTACTCGTCCCGGGTTCGATTTCCTACTCTACCAGATTTTCTGAGAAGTAGTGGGTCTGGAACGGGGTCCACTCAGCCGCTGGAGGATAATTGAGGAGCTATTTCAAGGAAATAGCGGCTTCTGGTCTAGAAAACCGAGATTAACGGCCGTGGGGATCCGTTGCTCTGACCACTTGACACCCTCTATCGTCAAAAGTTGGCACTAACTTCGCCGACAAGCGGCGGTCGCTCGGTCGGTATAGTTCGCTTGTGGACTGCAAACCACGGAATTTGTTTCGTTTTGTTTTCTGTGCTTTCAGATATGTTACCTTGTGGAAGTAATATTTTGGACTTATTTCTAAGCTTGTTTCATTTCGTTAGCCAAGATCATTCAGGAACTCTAATGATTTCTTTTGGTTCTACACCAAAGTCTTACGGCTGACTCATATTACTAATGGTACAATAATTCTTCAGAGGAAAATAGATTTGATTGCCAGTGGGCTTAGAGAGTTGCATTTCTTCAGTATGACTTGAAGGTTCCCCCTTATTCTACCTTACTTCATATCTCTTAGACTTCGCAGAATTTACGAAGCTAGAAAGAGGAAATCTCTGTCTTGCAAGATGTGTGGCTTTTAGGCCACATGACCTGAAAGCTTTCTTTTTATTACTTTCTTTATCATTATTTTTCCATATAACTTGCAAAGTTACACTTTCAACAGCCCCTGTCACTACGCATTTGTGACACTCATCAGCATGAAATCATTTTAACTAACTGAAAGTCATCTAACTAGTGCTGTATTTCATGGCTATTATGAAGATGAATTTTGTGTCCCCAACAGAAAGCTAGGCTTGACCCAATGTGTGCTGTAACAAGTTTCATTCTTGGCCATAGGAAAAGGCACAAGGAACCAGCTTACGGGTCTTATTAAAGCTTTTCCTGGTAGGTTGTCCCTGTGGTATTTTAGCAGAATTAAAAAAACAGTATGTTACTTAAAGATCGCATGTGGTTAAAGAAGCGGAATGGTTATCGGCCAAAGTAAATAGTTTGGTTAGCTTCTAACTCTGCTTTATCCTGAAAGTGATGACTTAATTCTAAGAACAGAACACTCACATTATATTGCGAGTCGAAACTCATCGCAATTGTTCAAGGGGGTATTCCAGCTTAGGCTGGGGCCACACGAGCACATAAAATGCATCCGTTTTAACGAACATCGTGACGTCTGTTGTAGAAATAAACAAGAGAGGCGAATGTTACGCTTTCTGACTCCATTGCAGACAAAAAACTTCGCACCGCATTCTGCAACTGTGTGGTGTCCTCAGTAACGTCCGTCATAAAGTACGTTCGTTGTAACGGACGTACTTCGTGCGCTCGTGTGGCCCCAGCCTTAAAGTGTCTCTCTCGTTGTCTTGCAAGAGAATGCAACCAGCAAGGGGAACTCATGGCCCATTCCTGGCGTCCGGACAATACGTTTCCAGTGGCTTTATTTTCCTTGTTAGTGACAGCTTCGGAAACTGGTTTGGAACTGCAGAGAAAGCGCTTTCATGCATATTCAAAATAGCTCTCGGAGGAAATCTGCATTGTTTACAGCTTTGTCACAAGTTGAATGGGCACACCATAGCGTAGTTGGTTGAGGCACTATGCTACAGGCGGGAAGGTCATAGGTTCGATTCCCGATTAGGTCATTCGATTTTTTAAATTACCTAATCTTTCCAGCCGCACTTTGGCCCTCGGGCCGACCCAGTCTCTGACAAATGCATATCAGGAATCTTCCTAGGGCTAAAGGGCGGCCGGCGCATAAGGCTGACAACTTCACCGCCATCTGTGATCCGATTGTCTAGAAAATGTGGGAGCATCGACGTCTCAAAACCCTATGAGCCTCCACTGTTACAAGGATATAGATTTACCTCCCCCCCCCCTTGTTGTACGTAGAAAGAACGTGTTGGCTTGGCGTCTGCTGACTCCTGCCACCCACCGAAGAGCAGTCAGTTGTGGAATTCCAAATTGTTTTCAAAAATCGATATATCCAATATCTTTCCGAAGTTTTGCAGCACTTAGTAGAATGGTATTGGACGGTGTTTTCTTCTGCAGATTCATATAAAACTTATTTTGGAGTGTGCAGAGTTATTCCATACAATTTTCATGCATTCCTTTGCAACATTTTGCTATCAGTAACATCTGGTTTGCAGCTAACTAAGACATAACACGGTACCAACTTTATTTCGTTCTAACATTGTTGATTCATCAATACCAAGTTCCATAGAAATTTTTCTTTTTGACGAATCTTATTCAAGATTTATTATCCGGAATTCTAGCGTTTCCTAAGTATACTTCGCCGTCAGGATCTAAAAGGTAACAGATATTTCAGTTTCTGGTTGTTTGAAATATTTTATTCATGTCAGAGTACGAAAGCTTGAGGATTAAATCCGAGACAGAAACTGAAATATATACAATGTTGTTAGGATTTTAAGTCCCATTTTGTTAAAAAGTAAATGTCATTTGATTGTTTCGGTGAATTTTGTTTACTCTTGTCAGTGTTTTACCTTGGCATGTACTTTCATTAAGAGTGGAACTATTTTCTTGCTGTAATGAACGTAATCGCCTGTCACGGTAGCCGAGCTGTCTAAGGCATGTACTGTCTTCGCTCGCTTGGAAACTGGGATCGTGGGTTCGAATCCCACTCAGAGCGTGGATGTATAGTTTGTGTGTGGGCGTTTTTCTGTGTTTGTATGTATGTAGAGGCCTTGCGACGAGCTGATCACCCGCCCAAGGAGTCCTACCGAACGTGTAAGATCTAGAAAAACCGAAGTGAACGGAGAAGTTTATGGAGGCAAGCCTAGGCCCACTGGGGCTGTAGTGCCAATGGAAAAAAAAGAACGTAATCATTTGTGCGATTTGAAATTATAGTCGTAGTATTACGTGAAACGAAATATATGTGACACAAAGCAATAGGTAAGTAGGACTATCCGTGCCGACAGCTGCCTCAAGTTCATTTCTTTCTTTATGGGAGGGTTATTTAACGACACTGTAATTTCTTTGGGAGCCGGAATAGCGCAGCCAGTATAGCGACTGGCGACGGGCTGGACGACCGAGGGATCGGAGTTCGAGTCCCGGTACGGTCAAGAATTTTCTCTTCTCCACGTAATTCAGACTCGATCTGGGGTCCACCGAACGTCCTATCCAATGTGTACCTGGGAACCGTTCCCGGGGGTTAAAGCGGTCGGGGCTTGAAGCTCACGACTCATCCCCAACTAGTGCCGAGATAAAGAAAATGTGGCTCTACATATCCACTCCCCCGCACGCCTTCATGGCATACTGCATAATTAGTTAAGCACAGGGAAAACTTTACCTTCTTTTACTGTCGTTTCTATGGAGTTAAATTCTAGGTTGACTGATCATTTGGAAGGATTTAGGAGGTAGCTACCGCTCCCTAATCGAGTCAGTCTGCTGGCATATGCCTCGATGAACTGAGGAAAGCCACGAAAAACCTCAGTTAGTATAGTCAGTGCCTGGGTCGAGATTCGAACCAAGCAACTCCTGTATATGTTACCATAACACACAACCACGAATCTTCTTCCAGTGAATTAAGCTACTACGTCAAGACTACGCCATAGCCCAAGCGGTTAGTCGCTGGCTTCCCACCGCGGCGGCCCAGGTTCGATCCCGGGCCTGGTCAAGTGAGTTTTGTGGTG